TCCAAGCTCACGAAAATTTCAGCCATGAAAGAGACTGCGTAACCGAATATGCCGTTATTATCGATGTGGCCCATAAATTTGGGTTATTTCACTGGTCTCCAGTCTCTGGTCGTCCAGTGAATGATGGAAGAACCACTTAAAGAAAGATTTTGCAGACAAACGCTGGAAACAGTAGAATAGTCGCTGCTGGCTGGCTATCTGTGATCAGCCGGTGATATTACAATTTGGGGCGTATGAGCAACGGATACCATTGTTAAATTTATATTCATGTAAGATACTAGGAGAAGGATATAGATTTGAGTGCTCGAATCACGGCTATTATGGATCAGTCCCGATAGTATAATTGACATGTGAGTCAAAGAAAATAAACATCACAACGATATCTAGATAGTGCCAATTCTACAAATGAATCGTACTACTATGTTAGAGGGTACCGGCCGGTCGTTTTACAGTATAAACCCGTCCCGTTGTGCCTTACGGGCTCACTCTCGAACCCTGTCTGCAGTCGCATAGACCCGCTGGGCTGAAGCTGTTCCTTCGCCGAATGTGCAGGCTGAAACCATCGTGAAGGCCTTCGTCAGTCGTTCGGTCGCCATGTTCGGTGCCCCATCCACGGTTACGACTGATGGTGGTGCCCAGTTTGAGTCGGCACTCTTCCAAACGCTACTCAATTTCCTTGGCTGCACACGCATTCGGACGACAGCCTACCACCCAGCTGCGCACGGTATGGTAGACCGTTTCCATCGTCAGCTAAAGACCGCCCTGCGTGCCGTAGTAGACCCAGGAAACTGGTCGGACAACCTTCCTCTTGCACTCCTCGGCATCCGTGCATATCTGAAGTCGGATCTGGGCTGTAGTGCAGCCGAATTGGTTTTCGGCACTACCCTCCGACTGTCAGGCGAGATGATCACCCCAACCTCTCGTGGGGCCGACGAGACTCCTGACAACCTTGTGCACCGTTTGCGGCAGTTTACGTGCACGCTTTCCCCGGTTCCACCTCGAACTCCAACGACTGAGTCTTATGTCGAAAAAGACTTGGACAAGTGTACTCATGTGTTCGTCCGGTGTGACCGTGTGCACCAGCCGCTGAAATCGCCATACGAAGGACCGTTCCGCGTGCTCGCACGCAACGCCAAGACCTGCCGGATTCTTCGCGGTGACAAGGAGGACGTGGTCAGCGTCAATCGGGTCAAGGCTGCTGTTGCACAAGGACAAAAATGTGCTGACCCCCTAACCCCTGTTCCGCTATCTTCCCTATCCCCTACTCATTTACCCTGCCCACTGCCTCGCCCTTCCCCTCCCTTGCCCTCCACCCCTCCGTCCCGCATACTTCCTCTCCCTACTTGTCTACAGCATCCAACTGCAACATCATCCTCCACCATAGCACGCAGTCAACCCTTTTTGACTGTACCTCCTGCTTACATCACCCACAGTGGCCGTCACGTTCATTTTCCCGATCGTTTAGTTACGCATCTTTTCTAGACTTCCTCCTCCGGCGCCGTATTCCATCGCCCTCCGGTGTAGAAGGGAGGTACTGTGGTGAGGTACCTGAATAATTTACCTTTGACAATTTAGTCCCATTTTCTTTGATTGCATTGCTTGTTTGAATGTGACGAGAAACCACACACCTGTACAACCCGCGTTGCCAGCGTGCTCCTCTGTCGTGGTCTGTTGTCAGTTTTCTTAATGTTTAAAATCTCTATATTATTCACGCTCCGATTTACTTACTGCCTTTAAGACTAGGAGCTCGTGAGATATAACTCGTTAGTTCGTGAGAACATTCCTTATTTACGACAGTATAGGCAGAATAAAATTACCGACAAAGACAAAGGAGACTGGAATGACCATTTCTGAATTATTAACCGTCCTCAGTCAGACATACTCAACTCCTGATTTTTGCGATCTCTGAGGATCGATCCTGTGACCTGTTAATTAGACGTTTACCGCCCTATTCATCATTACTAATAGTGGGATTCGATAAGACTGTGCTTCCACCACATCTTTAGTAAATTCTGGAATGGTTTGGTATAAGCATGCATATGTATAATGATGGAGAGGCGCTCACCGATTGCGCTTTGGAACTCACTCAGCCCGTTTTGCCTCGAGGCTCCCTCTCGAGCCCAACCAGCTGCCACACAGAGGCTCATGACGCAGGTAAAGTAGTATTACGATAAAGACAAGGGAGACTGAAATGACAATTTCCGACTTATTGGCAGTCGTCAGCCAGTCATAGCCAACCCCGAGGTGTGGAACACCCAGGGCCCGATCATGCGACTTGTTAGTGAGAAGTACAACGCCTCTAACCACTGAGCCCCCGGCTCGTTGCCCTGTCGGTTTCGACCGGGAATGTACAATGGTAGGGGGCGCTCACCGATCGTTCTTACGGAACTCACTCGTTCCGTTGTGCCTTGCAGACTCCCTCCCGAGCCGAACCAGCAGCCGCATAGAGGCGCATGATATAGTCAGAATGCTATTACCGACGAGCTCTTGGCTCAATTATTAGAGGCGTTGGAAATTTAACTGACAGGCCGCGAGAAAGTGCCACAGGTATTCCACACTTCGGGGTTGGGTATGACTGGCTGACGACGACCAATAAGGCTGAAATGGTCATTTCACTCTCCCTTGTCTTTGTCGGTAATACCACACTGCCTATATTATGCGCCGCTGCGCGGCTGCTGGTTGGGCTTGAGAGGGAGTCCATAAGGCACAACGGAACGACTTAGTCCCGTAAGAACGATCGGTGAGCGCCCCCTACCATTGCATATTCTCGATCGAAAACCGACAGGGCAACAGGCTCGTGGACCAGTGGTTAGGGGCGTGGACTTCTAACAAACAGGTCGCGAGTTCGAGCCTCGGGTGTTCCACACGTTGTGGTTGGCTATGAGTGGCTGACGATGGCTAATCGGTCATAAATGGCCATTCCAGTGTCCCTTGCCTTTTTCGGTAATACCGTACTGCATATATGTATACATGGAAGAGGAAGATAAGGCGATCTCTGGGGAAGAAGGTTTATTAATCTGGCGTTTCGTACTCGTGCTCGAGCACATCATCGGAGAAGACAAAATTAATTTCCTACCTCTTTCGCTTTTTGTCTTTGCAGCAAACCAGTCACTGGCGCTAATTAACCTACCAAACAACGAGCCCTTACATTGGATTTTCAACTGGCATAGCTTGAACACAAGTAAGACAAAACCTTATAACTTGGTTGCAAAGTTTCCTATCTGTTTCTTCATGTCCTCCTGCTTCTTCTTCCCCCTCTTTTTCATTTTCTTTAGTCAGTACAGGGTGGAGGGCAATCCGTTGTTTCTAGTAGTTTTTTCAAAGTTTCGCATCATTTTCCCTGAGGAAATGTCATACAATTTTTATCAGCCTGCCCCTTGGTGTCCATCCATCTCTTCAATGTTACTAAAGCGCTGTTAATGGCGCGTTTCTTGAACATCTTAAATGTGGTTATGGGCGTGGAGGAAGAGGAGGAAGAAAAAGAAGAAGATAGGTGCAATATGCTAAACCCGGAGCTGGATCATACATTAAAGCTGTGACTGTCGAAACATGCAAAGTAGCCCTCTCAAGCCCTACTTTCTTAGCTGGAAACACGCGTCATTTACGCACAACTCAATTGTGAAGGGAGCGATGTGAGCTGTTTTGTACCTACAGCCAGATTAATGGGTGCTTTTTATTCTCCAAACCATGACGCATAATTACAACAGGAATATATCTGAAATCGCGGAAGGATTTGAGGAAACACCAGGTGCTGCCAGTATGCAAGCCAACAATTACGCTAAGCACGAAACTTTTGCACTTAACGAAAACTAGTTGTTATTTGGAGAAGAGAGTTAGCATCAAGAAAATACCCCCTAGCAAGTGCGATAGAATTTACGGTGGCCAGAGTTGGAAATCTGTAACCTTCTTATGCATGAACGACAACTTATTTTGCGGAACTGGAAATGCCAATTCCAAGTGGTCGCACACACGCATACAGTGAAAACGGCAAAGAAATTTGCCTATGAAATAATTGACAGTATTGGTAACTGCCCAACAAAGAATGACCACCGTTGCTTGGGCTGAATTCACTCAAGTGAGCCATTTATCAGCAGACATGTCGATCTGGTTGCAGCGTAAAAAGGATAAAAAATAGTGGATAATATTATTGAACTAACTGTTATTTAGGCAACAATGACCTATCATTTAATCTTTAACCCCGGTTTCAGGTCAAGGTTTTCTGCACTTCTACCAGACGGATTCAGAAAGGCATCCTGAAAGCCCGCAAATTAAAAACCGGGCTGACCAAAACCCTGATATACTCTGAAGCAGGCGGCTCTGCACATTTGTCGCATTCGAGTTATATCTAAAAGTGTTCAGGAAGACAGCATTACATGTGAAACACGCACCTTGAAAATTCAAGCGTCTGAGTTTTCACATATTATGAGGGAGAGACCGCCAAATGTGGGTCTGATCAATACTCACCTGCTGCATTCTCCACGATTCCGTACTCTGTCGCGGATTGTAGGTCTAAAATACATCAATAATGGGCTTTGAGCTGTGAAAATAAGAGGTATGCCTACCGTGTGCTGATCAAACAACCTTGGATGATAACGTAATGTTTGGCCTAAGTGGACTGTGTTTTAAACTACTACAGGGACACTGTACGCAATAGAATTAAGTGGCGCAAAACACGCCAGGGCGCGATTTGGCGTCTGGTTCCCCTTGGAGAAGGAAACAAACACGCCCTCGCACCCTACTTCTCTAAAAGGCATTTGCGGTGTGAGAGAAAGAGAGGTTAGGTTTAGGTTTCCACTCTGACGTTATAGTAGGTGTGCTAGCTCATGAAATGTTGATAGAAATTCTGAAATGCGTTTTCGTTTCGAAAAGATTACTTAAGAAGGATCGTAAAATTAATCATCATGCAGCATAATTCTCTAATAATTCAATTGCCTCGGGATGCTAGCTTTTGAACAAACTTCTTTCCGGCTGCATGCAAAAATCATAGTCTATAAAAAGGACTACTTAAGTGGCATGAATTTTTCTCCTTTATTTTCGATGCCCCTAAAACTTCAATTATATTTTATGGAAGATATGCATAAAAATATTCATTCATTTGCTCATTCAGTAGAGATGTGCGTCTTTTTCCAATTTTATACTTGAAGGAACGGTATAGTTCGGTTTTAAAAAGGTTTTTAATTTTGAGATTTTTTAATAACATGAAATGCCCATTCATAAAACATTGTGTCCCTGCATTTGTTAATGTAGCTTATAACGTTTACAATATGGCTGAAATTCACTGCTAAATTTTACGAACTTCATATGGTCCCTTCTTAATACCCCAAAGAAATGTACGAATTTTAGTACGCGGAAAATATATGGCTTGCAGTTTGGGAACTCTAAATGCAAGTTTAACGGCTAGTCGGGTTCAAAATTATTCGGGAATTGGAAAAGTTTTTGAAAACTTTGAATTTCGGTCAACATTTCATGAGTTAGCACACCTACTGTAATTCTAGTGCAGTTTCAGAAAGGGCCAAAATCGAGGTCACTTACACATCTGCGATATAATTCTCTTTTCCGCAGTCTTCAGAAGCGAAGGGAGGAGACCGGTCGATCTGATAAGGTTCAGACATGTAGTGCCTGCAGAAACAAAACCGATACTTAAATACACAAACCTAGATATGTGTCAGCGGGTAGTCAAAAACTAGCTACATAATTGAAATTCGATTTGGATTTTGACTCTCAAGGGCGTGGTAGGACATTGAAATTTGGACTCTTGTGTTACAGGCCGACTTACATTGAATTCCAGAAAGGGTTGCAGTCAGGGTTAATGTTAGGGTTGGGTTCTGGTCAGGTTAGTTTCAGAGTTATGATTGTGACGGTTAGTGGTAGGGTTAGGTCAGAAGAATATGTACCTCCTAGAATTTAACGCAGGACCACCAAGCCAGGTTATTTGTCTAAGGCTTTCTGCCTTTCCTCTGGTTTATCCTTGAGGAGCTCCTAATTTTGGCATGAAAACTGAGGCTCCACTTTTGATTTCATTACCACACATCCAAATAGGTTCCTAACAAAATTTCACAAAAATGACATATTCTTTAGAAATACCTAACCTCGAATTTTTTGCGACACATTTCCATGCTAAAGGACCTTCTCTACCTGGGTTCCGCTCATCCACTCCTTTGCCACGTTTATATACCTTACTTTAGAACGCATAAGACTGGCCTATGTCATGTTGACGACCAGTAGCGACCGTAAAACGGATGTCTGTGATAGTACCTACACGAACTTTCTGGCACATCGTTCATTATCGCCAGAAGCTCATCTGGGGTGCTGACAGGATGGGACCGAGCAAGATTCCAACCACAACAAGTAAGGGTCACGTGCCTAATTGGCAATATATATATATATAAAGAATAATACCATTTATTTTTTTCATGAAGCAGGATCTAACAATGAGATACAGCCATCAGATACGTTTGTACTTATTTTGGGTGCGGTGAGAG